TTTGGTACTGGGGATTGAACCCAAGGGGACTTAACCACTGAGCCATATCCCCAGCTCTTTTTATTTTATTTTAATTTTGAGACAGGGTCTCACTGAGTTGTTTAGGGCTTCACTAAGTTGCTGAAGCTGGCTTTGAACTTTCAATCTTCTTGCCAAGCCACAGGGATTACAGGTGTACACCACATCTTAGCGCCTGGTTCTGTCTTGTTACCTGCTTTATTCCTTTTTGTGGCACTGCATACTATCACTTTGCCACCATTAATTTCCTACAATTATTTTGTTTGACACCATATCCCTCTTCCCTAGAATAGCGCCTGTAATGGCTGGGGGATATACCTTAGTGGTAGAGTGCTTATGTAGCATGCATGAGACCCCGAGTTCTATCCCTTGCTCCTATCCCGAGCTCTGCCAGGATAAAGCCAGGGGAGAGAGGGGGCTGGGGAGAAAGAGAGAAAGAAATAGTGCCTGGTAAATAACAAGCACTCAAGTATCTGTTGAATAAATGGATGATTTTAAAAATATTTTATTTTTTGTACAAGGGATAGAACCCAGGGGCCCTTAGCCACTGAACCACATCCCCAGCACCCTCTGTTTTAAAAGCTAGTTTCTTTCTTTTTTTTTTTTAGTTGTTGATGGACCTTTAATTAATTAATTAATTAATTAAAATTTGGTGCTGATATTCAAACCCAGTGCCCCACACATGCTAGGTATGTGCTCTATCACTGAGCTACAATCCCAGCCTTTTTAAAATTTAGAGACAGGTTCTTGCTAAGTTACTCAGGGCCTTGCTAAGTTGCTGAGGCTGGCTTTGAACTTGCAGTCCTCCTGCCTCAGCCTCCCTAGCAGCTGGGATAACAGGTGTGTGCCACCATGCCTGGCTGGAATGAATTTTGGAAGTCAGGTACCTAGCACAGTGCCTGGTTGCACAAATATTGGATAAATAAATGATAAAATTAATAAATTTTGTAAATGAAATGGAATTCTAGCATACATCCAGGATCATCTGGGATACAAGTGTAGATGTTTGATTCATTTGCTCTGTGAAGATAATTTTGATTTCTGGCATTTGCTCTAATAATCACAGGTGATCTAGCCAGGTTCTCTACCTTCCAGAAATGAGTCATTGACAGAGGTGTTGCCCAAGAATATTTAGGGGATTTCAGAAAGGTACCCAAAGAATGACAGAGCAAGGATTTAGATTACCTGTCAACCCACTGCCTCTCATCAGCTTCTGAGGGATTCTGCTAAGGTACTTTATCTCCTGTGATTTATATTGAATGTACATGTGTTTTTAATCCTGCTTAGCACTGATTATCCTGAGGGCTGGAACAGGTTAAGACATTAACTGACCCCAAATTCTGAGAGGCTGGACCCTTTACACCCCGCATATCTGAGGGGACATTGCAGTGAGTCTTTAGGGCTACTCCCTTCACCCTCAGCCTGCCTCAGTTACTTGTGATTAGGAACTAAATGGCTTTGATGGCAATGGTAGGTGAATTGGGGAGCAATTTGCCACACTTTGCTTTTTCATTTTGGCCTCTGGGTAGTTATTTACCCTGCCCATTCCATTTTTCTTAATTTCTGGCATATGCACGAGTGAAGGAAGCAGACAGTGCAGAGACTAGGGACCCCGTGGCACAAATGAAGCATATGTAATATGGGCAGCCTACATATCTATCCTTTGGCTTTTTGGGGTGGGGTACTGGGGATGGAACTAGTAAGGGCATTCTACCACTGGGCTACATCCCTGACCTTTTTTAAAATTTGAGACTCACTGAGTTGCCCAGGCTGGTCTTCAACTTGTGATCCTCCTGCCTCAGCCTCCTGAGTAGCTAAATTACAGGTGTGCACCACCCTGCCAGCCCATGGATCCTTCTAAGAGGCTAAGCAGTGATCAGACTGTGGATAGCGTTGGGGCCAGAAACCAGAACAGGGAGAGCTGGGGAGGTTTCCCAATCCCTGAATCTCAAGTATCTCATTACTAAACAAGAGTTGTAGATGGGGCCTGAGGAAGTGCAGAGAAAAGAGAACAGGCTAACTGAACGTGTGCTTTGTCCAAACACTGGACTAGTTCAAGATGTCATCTGATGTCACAAGGAAGTTAGTTATGATTATCATCTGCACTTTATAGAAGAGGAAAACAAAGCTTAGAGGAGTTGATGACACTTGCTCAACATACTCAGTTGGTAAGCCTCAGCTGAGACTTGAGATTCAAACCAGCCCTGCTTGACTCCTGGTTGTCTACGAAGAGCAAGAATCTCCCTAGCAGATACAAGGGTGGAAAGAAGGGTGGGCAAGAGAGGTAGCAAATGGGTCCCACCTGAGACTCTATCATCATCATGCACCTCCTAGACAGGTATTACAGCAGGTGCCACCTGACTTGTGTTCTGTTCTTAGAATTGAAATTTCTATGGCTGACTTACCAAGGCCATCGAAGTCCCACCGAATGGTATTGCGCCCCACGGAGTGAAGCCTTTCCTTACAGCATGTCCTTCCATGCCATTCTGGCTCCTGCGTTTATACGCAGTGGTGTCACAGGGTGCCTTCATCCTCCTTGGCTCTTTGGTTCCCTGAGCCTCTTTCATCCTCTTGCCAAAGTTGTACCCCCTGAAGAGTGTATCCTGCCTACACTTTGGGGGTTCGGGTGGTTCCGGGGTACTGTGGAAGCTTCCGGGGGGTGATAAGGAGAGCTGCGGACGCGGCTAGGGTCTCGGCCTCTTTGGGGCGGTTCGCCAAACCCCTTTCCTTGCGCTCTCCGCTGCGCGCCGCTGCACGCTGCAGCGCCCCCTTCGCCACCAGGGGCCGCCCGGAAGCGGGACTCCCCGAGCGTTGGGCGGGGAAAGGGGCGGGGCGCGGCGGTACCTGGGCCGCCCGAGAGCTGGGGGTGGGTTCTCGGGGGACAGCAGGCAGCCCCCCCAGATCTGCACTGCCAGCCGCCAGGAGCTCGGGGCTCCGGGCGTAGAGGCTGCGCTTGTCACATGGGCGGTGGCGACGG